ATATATATATATATATATATATATATATATATATATATATATATATATATATATATATATATATATATATATATATATATATATATATATATATATATATATATATATATACTTATTATAATTAGTTTAATTAAGGTCGACCAAATATTTTAGCAATTGGATATTACATTTATCTCATCGTACACTACTAATATAGAACATGCACCTTGCATTAGGCAAAAAAAACTACATTATTTGATACTAGTCTTGATGAGTACTAAAATTTGGAAAGTATAAACAAAACTTTTTTAGGGAATTTGAAATTAGTTTGACCTCACCGGCTTATTTATCATATAAATCTCCTCTCACATATGTCAACATATATTCACATGCATCAACATACATAGAAAATGAAATACTTATGACCCCTGGCATAACTGTTCCCTTAAACCATTGAGAGAACCTAAGTTAAACCTAATAATGATTTATGCTTCTCCAAGTAAAACCTTTATGGTTGTCCTCCTTTGATTTTGTCTTCTTATTTTCTTCATTACATTACATTAAAAAATACTCATTTTACATACAAGGGAGTAAGATGATTTTTTTACATAAAGAGTGTATAGAGAAAGGCACAACACGGAGGTCATATTTAAAAAATCTCAAAATAAAATAAAAGAAGACTAGGTCATAACTGCTCACCACAAGAAATTAATAATAAACACATTATTATTATTATTATTATTATTATTATTATTATTATTATTATTATTATTATTATTATTATTATTATTATTATTATTATTATTATTATTATTATTATTAGTGAGATATTTGATCGAACTCTAGTATTGTCGACAGAGGTTTAGTATTCTGTCGAAGTCTGTTGACATGCTATTGTCGAAGACCTACATGCTATAGTCGAAATGTGTTCTAGAATGTAGTTATTGAATCGGGCCTTGTGTTAAGGATCCAATTGTTTAAGTTAACTTATAATGGGTAATTGTTAAGAAGTCCATTAGTTTAGTATGTTAGGTTTTGTTATAAATAGCATACTAGTCTCTCATCTTAAGTCTGGAAAATCCTAATTAAGGTGAGAGGGTTATTTGTTATTCTTTAGAACTTGTAATCTGTTTAAAGAGAAATTAAAGAATATCAGTTATAACCAATCCTTGTTGTTGTTCTTCTTCTTGTTTTTCCCACTAACCCTAACCCTTGTGTGTTTCTTGATCATAAAGAAACTGTTTATACTTTGTTTCAATGTATCTTTTTTCATAACAAATTGGTGCGGTGAGCATGAAGGAAGATGCCTTCAACAAAGTATGAGATTGAAAAGTTCACTGGAGTGAACGATTTTGGTCTGTGGCACTTGAAAAGGAAAGCCCTACTGGTTCAGCAAGGTTGTTTGGAAGCTTTGAAGGGAGAGGTAACTATGAACGATGCATTAACGGAAACTAAAAAGACGACCATGATTGAGAAAGCCTGCAACATAATATTGTTGAGCCTTGGTGATAAATTTCTCCGGTAGGTATCAAAGGAGACTACGGCATCAGGGTTATAGTTGAAACTTGAAAACTTGTACATGACCAAATCTCTGGTGAATCAACTCTACCTGAAGCAAGCCTTGTATTCATTCAAGATGAGTGCAGACAAAGTGTTGGCTGAGCAGTTAGATATGTTCAACAAGTTGATTCTTGATCTGGAAATATTGATATGAAGATTGATGATGAAGATCAAGCACTGTTGTTGTTGTGCACTTTACCCAGAACACATGCTCACTTAAAAGAAACTCTCCTATATGGCAGGGAGTCCCCGAGCTTTGAATAATTTCAATAAGCCTTGTATTCTAAGGACTTGAATGAATGAAAGGAGAATACACCTTTGATGGTTGGTGAAGGTTTGGCCGTTAGGGGAAAATTCTTACGAAAGGATAGTAAGTTCAACAAGAAGAAAGATAAAAGTCAGCAAAAGTCTTAAAGGGGAAAAGCATTTGGTATTCGATGCTATCACTATAAGAAAGATGGTTACACAAGAAAGGTGTGAACTGAGCGCCTGAAAGATCATGGAGGTAAGGATAATGGCAACACATCCGTTGTTTAAGATGACTTCGACTCATCTGATATCCTTGTAGTTTCAAGCAATGACTGAAGAAAGGAGTGGATTATGGATTCAGGTTGCACTTGGAACATGACTCCAAACAGAGAATTGTTCGAGGAGCTATGTGATCAAGATGATGGATCAGTGGTGCTGAGAAACAACAAGGCTTGCAAAAATATAGGTATTGGATCTGAGAGATTCAAGCTCCATGATGAGTCAATAAGGTTATTGAACGAAGTCAGGTAAGTACCTGATTTGAAGAGAAATTTAATTTCTCTTGGTGAATTCGACAAGAAGGGATATGTTTTTCAAGGAAAGAAAAGTATCCTAAGAGTCATAATGGGTCGAAGGAAGTCTTGAGAGGCATGAAAAAACAAGGCTTGTATACCCTTGAGGCTGAAGTTGTAAGTGGTTCGACAAATGTTGCTTCCATGAAACCTTTGTCGAAGACAGAAATTTGGCACATGAGATTGGATCATGTCAGTGAAAAGGGTCTGGTCGAATTGGGGAAACAAAATCTGCTTGGAGGAGACAAAGTCGAAAAGCTGAAATTTTGTGAACCCTGTGTACTTGGAAAAACTTGCAGAGTGAAGTTCAACAAAGGAAAACAAAGAACACATGGATCCCTTGATTACATCCATGCCGATCTTTGGGGGCCTACAAGGTGTCCATCACATTCAAGAGCAAGGTATTTTCTATCCATAGTCGATGATTATTTCAGAAAGTTATGGGTATTCATCCAGAAGACTAAGGATGAAACTTTTGAGAATTTCAAAGGTTGGAAGACTCTGGTAAAAAATCAGACTGGCAAAAAGGTCAAAAGGTTGAGAACCATCAATGGCCTTGAATTTTACAATAAGGCATTCAACAGCTTTTGTGCTGCCTCAAGTATTGCAAGGCACAAAACTACTGCAGGTACTCCACAACAAAATGGTTTGGCAGAAAAGTTTAATCGAAATATTTTGGAAAGAGTTAGATGCATGTTGACTAGTGTTGGATTAAAGAAGGTGTTTTAGGCTTAGGATGTTTCAACATCAACATATCTGATAAACATATGTCCTTCGACTATGTTAGATATGAAGACACCTAAAGAAGTTTGGTCGGGACATCCACCAGATCTCGTCAAACTGAGAGTATTTGGCTGCGTGGCCTATGCTCATATTAGGCAAGACAAGGTCGAACCTAGAGCTCTGAAATGCATGCTCATGGATACCCTAAAGGAGTCAAAGCTTATAGGCTATGGTGCCTAGAGCTAGGTCGCAGGAGGTGTATTACCAGTCAAGATGTAGTTTTCAATGAAGCTGAGATGGCCTTCAAGAAAACTGATGATACTGACGAAGAGATGGAACAGGGAGAAATTCCTGTTGAGGTGGAGTATGTTGATGCTAAATTGCATAGACGAAATCGAAGAAGAAGCAAAAGATGTTTTCAAAAATGAGGAGATTAATAATGACTACCTTCTAGAAATAGACAGGTCAAGGAGAGTCATCAAGCCACCTCAGGGACTTGGATATGCAGATCTTATAACTTATGCCTTAATCTGCAAGTGAGGTTCTAGACGAAGAACCTAGAGACTATATGGAAGTTATGAGGATTCAAAATAAGACTGGATGGCTAAAGGCCATCGATGATGAGATGAAATCTCTTCATGGTAACAACACTTGAGAACTGATCAAGAAACCTATTGGAGCCATGTTAGTCAGTTGTAAGTAAATTTTCAAAGTTAAGGAATGAGTCGAAGGAGTGGAATAAAAGAGATACAAAGCTAGTTTGTTTCTTGAGGTAATAGAGTTTATTCTAAGATGGAGATTTGTGATATATTGGATTGAACTCTAGTATTGTGACAGAGGTTTAGCATGCCATCGAAATCTGCTCACATGTTGTTGTTGAAGACCTACATGTTGTAGTCGGAATGTGTTTTAGTATGTAGTTGTCGAATTGGGCCTTGTGTTAAGGATTCAATTATTTAAGTTAGCTTATACACTAAGTTAGCTTATAATGAGTAATTGTTTTAAAAAAATCATTAGTTTAGTATGTTAGGTTTTATTATAAATAGCATACTAGTCTCTCATCTTAAGTGTGGTAAATTCTAATTAGGGTGAGAGACTTATTTGTTATTCTTGAGTACTTGTAATCTGTTTAAAGAGAAACTAAAGAACAGCAGTTATAACCGATCCTTGTTGTTCTTCTTCTTGTTTTTCCCATTAACCCTAACCCTTGTGTGTTTTTCCCATTAATCTGTTATACTTTGTTTCAAGGTATCGTTTTTCACAATATTATTATTAAATTGTGTTAATTAAATAAAATTAAAATAAATTTTGGCAATTGATCATATAATGCAGAGTTTGTCAGATTTTCCTCTACCCTATCATAAAGGTATACCAACTTATTTAAAATAATAATAATAATAATAATAATAATAATAATAATGATAATAACTAATTATTATAATATTTAAATAATAACATGATAAAAGTAATATAATGTGACTTTGAAATACATTGCATTACAGGCCCGCTAATTTTAGTTCTTGAAACACACAAAGGTATTTCTCTTAATCAATTAATAATCATTTTATAATAATAATAATAATAATAATAATAATAATTATAATAATAATAATAATAATAATAATAATAATAATAATAATAATAATAATAATAATAATAATATCAGGAGATCTGAAATCCCCATGAGGTGATGGCTATGGATCAAAAAGTTTCAAATCTTGTTGGCACATTATTAGGATGGATGTTGTAGATGCAGTAATGGAATTTTTTGAGCAGGACATACTTTATGCACCTTTTAACCAAACTGTTGTTGCCTTGGTTCCTAAGGCTGAAGATGCATAGTTTGTAAGACACTATAGGCCCATAGCAGGTTGTGCAACTTTCTACAATATAATATCAAAGGTCCTAACTGCCAGAATGGGGAAGATGCTTCCCAACATTATCAATTTATCCCAAGTTGCTTTTGTTCCAGGACAGATTATTCATAACCATATCATGCTTGCCTATGAACTTCTAAAGGGTTACACCAGAAAAGGAGGTACTCCTAGGGCTATGATCCAGCTTAATTTACAGAAGGCCTGTGATATGATGGATTGGCATGCACTGGAGACTGTTTTAAGGGAGATGGGAATACCTAGTAGATTTACTAGTTGGATTATGAAAATGGTAACTACTGCCACATATACCTTTAGTGTTAATGGAGAGCCTACTGATGTTATGCAGGCCAAAAGACGTATCAGGCAGGGGAGACTTATATCCCCCATGCTCTTTGTGGTTGTGATGGAATATCTTATTAGTTTGTTGGCTAAAATGCAATTGGACCCGAATTTTAATTCCCATGCAAAGTGTGAGAGACGAGGGATCACACATCTCACTTTTGCAGATGATATTCTTCTATTTTGTAGAGGAGATGTTGTATCAGTGGAAATGCTCCTAAACACTGTCAAGAATTTATCTACGGCTACTAGCCTAATTATGAACCCAAGCAAATGTAATATCTATTTTGGGGGAACAGACAGGGATGCAAGGAATAAGATGCAGGAAATTACAAATTTCAAAGAAGGCCAATTACCAGTCAGATACTTCGATGTGCCTCTGACTTATAAGAAGCTTCATACTAATCATTATCTACCTCTTATTGACAGGATTATGACAAGAATTCGATACTAGACATCGAAACTCGTAAGTGTAGCTGGGAGAGTCCAATTGGCGAAGAACACGATCAATGCTATAGTCTAATATTGGATGCAATGCCTGCCCATTCCAAAAGGTGTCATTAAAAAGATTGAGGTAATGTGCAGATGCTTCATTTGGACTGGAAACCAAGAAGAAAGCAGGAAAAGTCCAGTTGCTTGGAGCACTGTTTGAAGTCCAAAACGACAGGGGGGCTAAACATTTTCAATATGAAAGTGTGAAACAAGGTGACAATGTTGAAATGTCTTTGGAATTTATGCAAGAAAACTGATAATTTGTGGGTTAAATGGATGCACATGTATTACTTGAAAGGAAACCCCATCACGGGGGCTCCTATCAGTAAAAGTAGTTCTTGGGTTATGAAGAATCTTATGAGCCTAAGGGATCATATTTGTGATATTCAACAAGTCTGGGACAATCAAATCAGCAAGCAGAAGTTCAGCATGAAAACTCTATATGAGGCCTTTGTGGATGATAATATTAGAGTTCATTGGAGGTTCTTATTCAAGAGCAATAACACTAGACCAAGAGCCATGCGTACAATATGGCTAATGTGTCATCGAAAAATAGGAACTAAAGACAGGCTTGTGAGATTTGGTTTGATTCATGAAACTAGATGTAGCATATGCAATGAGGTCGATGAGACACTGGATCATTTGTTTTTTGAGTGTGCAGTATCCAAGAGTATTTGGCAGCGTGTGCTACAATGGATAGAAATCCAACATGATCCCCAATGCTGGAGTGCTTAGAAAGTGTGGATTTTCGAGCAAGTAGCGAAGAAAGGTTGGAGAGCTAGCTTATTGAAACTTGCCATCACGGGAACAATTTACGGAGTGTGGCCATTTTGGAATAGGAAGATTTTTGGAGGGAATACGTATGTAGGAACATATACGAATGCATGGGAAGATATTATAGAGAACATTTTGTATAGAGGTTGGGGGTCAAAAAAGCTTAGGAACCGTATAGCTATTTTGATGATTTAGTCTTTTCTAGTTTTTTGGTTGGTTGGATCTTTGATCACCTTGTACTTGATTTGTTTTTGTTTTGAGTTAATATAGCTCCTTTTTGATTAAAAAAATAAAATAATAATAACTATTGTTATTATTATATTATAAAAAAGGTCAAATTTTACATGATTTACAAAACTAGTTCCCTATTTTACCTGATTCACAAATTTACATGATTCACAAAACTAGTTTTTTATTTTAAATTCAAACAACTTTGGTCCCCCTCTACATTTTTTTTTATAAAAAATTGATGAGATATTCGTTTTTTAACTTATATTTTTATTTATAAAGTTTCACAATAGGTTTTTATACAATGATTTATCATATTTCACAAGAAAACTATCATTTAAAAATTAGAAACATCCTTACTTTTAAGTGTAAAAGTATGAGAGAAGGATCAAAATTGTTTAAATTTAAAATATATAGACCAGCTTCGTGAATCAGATAAATAGAGGACCAAAATTGTAACTAAGCCAAAAAAAATTATGATATGAAATTACCAAACTTGCAACAAACATTCTGCAACAATACCATTACGCTAACGGTGATGGCATGACCCTAAAAGCACAACAATACCATTATAGTTATCCATTTATATAATATAATATTTATATTATAAAACAAAAATAAAATTCATAATAACAATTATTATCATATTATAAAACTGCGCGACCCTAAAAGCACAACTCTTGTGTTGTTACAAACCCTCATTTTATAACTCTTGACAACATGATTTTTGTGCCTCCATAAACCCTAATGCAATATATTCATACCATAAAAAATATAATGATGGATTATTCAATTTGAATGGTCGAAATTCCATTGCTTCATTATACAAACGTCAGATTCAGAAGTAGAATGAAAATTGACCATTCATATATAGCACAATCATCACACAAATTGAATCAATGAAATAAAAGAGCATACCAAATATACTATTGTTGCATCAAAATTATTCATATCTTATATAAATCAATCAATCAATCATATATATATTTATTATGAATGATCAAAGTATCACTGCTTTACCATACAAACATTAGATTCTGAAGCATAGTTAACAAAGATCAATCCAAATTATACAAACATGATACAAATATTCAATTTCACATTATTATTGAACTCATTATATGTTTTAATCGAATTAATACACATATCACAAAAAATAAATATTTATTCAATACATGGTTTCGTAAGTGGCTCTAATACCAATGAAGGGAAATCGCGATAAAAAACGTAACCAAAAACTAAATTTTCTCTTTAGTTGATCCTTATGAATGATGCATGATCATTGATATTATGATTACCTCTTATGGCGATTAACACCTTTGATTCCGAATTGAAGAAATGGTCATGAGCATTGGATGAAGAATAACACCTTTAATTAGTCCACATGAATATAATGCCTTCAATCTCAGTGCTAGATAATACAAATGAATACTTTATGTGGGTCTGTGTGGGTCTCTGTGTGTGTGTGTGTGTGTATGAGAGAGAGAGAGAGAGAGAGAGAGAGAGAGAGAGAGAGAGAGAGAGAGAGAGAGAGAGAGAGATTACATCTAGGGTTACACAAACTAAATTTTATCAAATGTAAAAGCTTTTGCACAAGGGTTCTATTTGTAGAACCACTTTTACGGGCTACAAGCTATAAAGCCCACTTAAGTGCATCGTACTTTATGGTGTATCATATTTAACTTAAGTATTCAACTTAAGTGCATCATACCTTGGAATTTTCTATAATTCACTTAAGTGCACCATACCTTACTATTTTTTTGTAATTCTCTTAAGTATACTTTACCTTACAATGTTCACTATTTATTTTATGTCTCGTCAATTTGTCCTTATGTTGTGACCATGTAGGTTCTCGATACATTGACAATTATATTAAATCACAATTTTAATTTAATAATAGTGAATGGTATCTAGCAATACATCACTACTACCCAAGTCACGAAAATGTCATTTGATTTGACAAAACCTTTTTGTGATATTGTTTGTGTGTATGATTGCCCATTTGCCTCATGTCTATATTGAAAATAAGGTATAGACTGTGTCACCCTTGTCTAGTACAATATTTGAACCTTAGATATTTATCCTGTTATGTAGTATGGGTGAATTCTATCTAGGTCACTCATGTCCCTCAGCATGATTTATGGAGTAACCATCAATTATTTTTATGGTCATCTAGTTACGAACAACATTTGATCAACAACAAAGTACTCAAATCCAAATCTAAGCTCCACACTAGAATCAGGTCGAAGGGTGGTATACACCATTGTCACTATGAGAAGAGCTTATAAAACGTTTCATAACATTATATGTAGTATTCTCTTAGCGAGTCAATCTAGTATAAATATTACTCCTAACAAAGTCGTCTCAAAATTTTGAGAGGCCCTATGTAAGAAGTTGGGGTAAGCTTGTCAAATCTTTTTAATGGGTCCTATTCAATCTTAAATTAATCGTAAAATATATGTGTGGAAGCCCTTTTTGCTATAGCATAATTTTGAAAATTTGTGAGGCCATGTGATGTAGGTCGCTTTACACACCCTCAAAGACGGCCCTGACTTCTAATATTCATATCTATGCAAAGACTTGATAACTCTTTATCCATGATCCAGGAGATGTCATCATCAGTTGTTGAAAGCATATACGGTGGTGAAAGATTTTTTATTGTATCCACACGGATTATAGTGATATCACTTGTCGTTCTATAGTTCAAAGAATTTTAAGTAGGATTTTCAAAAGTTGTTTGTCTGGTATCATAAGTTGTCACAAGTTTTAGTAGCAAAGAGTAAATTCTAGAAAGATGTTTATTTAACAAGACATATCAAGAATAGATTTCATCAACCTAACTTGCATATATTCTCTTAATCAAGCATGTGAATTTGTTTTCGATTAATATAATCACGTACCTTCTCAATACCGTTTATGTCTAAAGAGATTTCGTGAGTATTATTGTATCTATCACTAGATGATGTCTCATGCTAATAATCAGTACAATAATCTTTAAGATTGATACAAAGCAAATATCAACTCACAAATTTATGTCTAGAGTTTGTTCATTGATAGATGAATATCTTAGATAAAGTTTTTCAAAATCTATGTCTAGAGTGATTCAAAACAAATGTATATCATAAAGAACAAAGATATTCACCATATATTAATCATCAACTTGTTCACATACAAAATATTAAAGAAAATACATACAAGATCAAGGAAGACTACATCTACTTGATACAAAGGATTTAGATATCCATCACCATGGTAGCCTGCTTCACAAGGAATGATAGAAGATGAATGTGCATCCACGACGAAGAATCGATAATGGATGTGAATCCAGCTTCTATTTGATAAAATCACTTCTTGATGAAGAAATGAAGAACTTAGGGTTTTTGTGTCAAAGGAAATATTTTCTTTCTAAAAGTTTATAACAATGTGCAAGAATAAATCCTAATAAAGCAAATAAAGCACATAAATATATTTTCTATTCTGCACTAGCTCGCACTGCATGCCCCCTTTTTAGGCATTCCAAGTGCCTCTGAACAGTTAAATCGCCCCAGAGAAATATTTGAGCTTGCACTGTGAGCTATCTTGCTCAGTCCTTGCACTACATCCACTGAGGCCAAAAGTTACTGCCATAATTTTTTCTAGCTCGCTTTCACTTCATCTTGTGCTCGCACTGCGAGCTCGCTTTCCTTTTGTTGGCAGCTCGCACAATGACCCCTGACATCAACTTCTATTCTTTAGCTTCCTTGTCCATTCTTTTGTGTCATTTTCCACTATGATCAAGCCTAATTTCTATACAATAACACACAAATCAAGCAGTCCAAAGGTATATGCAACTATATTGAAGATTTACACCAATTTATGGAATAATTCAATTGAAACATGAATAAAGAGTTGAAAATGCCAAGAAAGATTATCCAAATTTAAGTCATATTTGGAATTCAACATCCGTCTATCCATAAAATA